GAGCTAGCGGAAGAGCACGGGGGCGTTGTGGGGGCAGAGGCCCTTGAGCGTGACCCCGGTGGGTTCGCGGAGGAAGGAGCGGCAGACCGCCTCTTTTAGCCCCATGTCCATGTTGAGCAAGAGGAAGAAGACGCACCTCGTGCTGTGCGGCGACCGCCTCGAGATCTCGTAGAGCCGGACCGCCTCCGTGTCCCGCAGCTCCGCGGAGATCCTGTCGTGGTGGAGGAGGAGGAGGAGGATACCTGAGTGCGGGCTATCTTCCACTGGAGGACTTTCTGTCCAAAGACGTAGACGAGGACCTGCTGCCTGCGGAGGTTGGTGTGAGCACAAGGAGGGAGGGAAAAGAGCTCACAGGACGTAGATCATGAGAGGAGTGGGCGAGGCCTTGAAGAAGTCGATGTACTTCCTCATCTTGTTCAAACGCCCCCTGAAATCTTCGAGCATCGCAGGAGGGTCAGGGGACGAGATGCGGCGGGAAGGCCTGACCTGTTTCCGTCACTGGGATGTTCACAGGAAGGAACGTGATGTCATTGGCAAAGACAGACTTCACGTGATGCTCCGTTCCCCTCAGGCTGGCCGCCATGATGGCTCGAACCAGTTTCGTCGACATGAAGGAACTCGGCTGTAGGAGCAGAGGGTCCCTGTTCAGCTCCAGGAAGCGACGGAGAGCACCGGAGATGATCGCCATGAGCACGTCGTTGACGGTCGCCCCCTCCTCCTTCCTGGCGATGCTCTTGATCGCATCGAGGGAGTAGACGCGGCTGATTCTCATCTCCTTCTCCCTGGGGTTGGTGTTCCTGACCGACAAGATGCTGCGAGAGTCGTTCAGCTCCATCTCCACGACGGCGATCCAGAGCCCTCGCGCGAAGTACAAGACCCGCCGGAGCTGAGAAGCGAGCAAGCCAACAGTAGACCTCACTAGCATCGTCAACATACCTCCTCCTCCTCCCTTGTTGTCCAGCTCCTCTCGAGTCTTGGTCCTCCTCTTGGTTTGCAGCAGCTCTTCCTGCCGCTCAGAGCTGTGATCGGTCAAGGACAGCAAGACCTTTGAGATCGAGAACCCGTCCCCCAGGCTGTGGTCGAAGCGGAAGAGAATCGCCATCCCCTCTCCTTCCTCGGTAAACTTGCGGAGAATGTGCACGTCCCACCTCGGCAGCCCCTCCCGCCATGGCATGAACAGCAGGACTCGCTGATACTCGTGCAGCTCCTCCCATGTGCCATGCTCGAGGTCCTTCTCGAACAGGATGCTGTCCAAGACCTCGTCGCCGACGTGCAACTCCTCGAAGCAGAACCTTCCTCTCTCCGTGCGAACAACCTTGCTGCGGAACCGCTCGAACCTTAGGAGCCTCTCATGCAGAAGCAGCTTCACGTGCTCCCTCGTCACCTCCCCGTCCAGCACGACCAGTGCCTCAATGTTCATGTTCTGAAGGGGGTCTTCCTCGTAGGAGCAACAGATCCCTTCCTCGAAGAACGTCATGCTCCTCCTCCTCCCATGCTCTACTGCTGCCTCCCGCGGGTCGGTAACCTTATGAACCCCATGGGAGAACCATGGAGGGAGACCAAACATGCTGAGAGGAGAAAGAACAACTTCCTTCTCTTTTTTCTGTTGTTCCTCCTTCCCTCCTTCCACGTCCTTCCTCTCTCACCTGTTCATGCTCTCCTCTCCTCTCCTCTCCTCTCCTCTCCCCTCCCCTCCCCTCTCCGCTCCGCTCCGCTCCGCTCCGCTCCTCTCCTCTCCTCTCCGCTGCTCTGCTCTGCTCTGCTCTGCTCTGCTCTGCTCTGCTCTGCTCTGCTCTGCTCTGCTCTGCTCTGCTCTGCTCTGCTCTGCTCTGCTCTGCTCTGCTCTCCTTTCCTCTCCTCTCCTCTCCTCTCCTCTCCTCTCCTCTTCTTGTCAGGTTGCGTTCTGAAGGTTTCAGACGCATCGGCGGACAACTGAGGCTGGCCCGCCTCACTGACAGCGAGCCGGCAGAAGTTCCAGCAGAAGTTCATTGAAAACCCGGTAGAGGTCGTGCAGTTCTGATCTCTACGATGATAATCACTCCTTCTCATAATTCTGTTCTCTTGCAATCGGAAGTTTTGAGCAGCACTTTCCCTTGCGAGGATCGTCCTGACTTGATCGATTCTCTCACCGCCTCCTTCACTTCCAACATGCCGAAACTCCTACCCGTCTGCGGCATCACTGCTCCCTTCTTCATCAAGTCCAGCACGTACGCCACCTGCATCACTCGCTCGCTTGCTGTCATGTCCTCCAGCCGTCTGCTCACAGAGAACCCGGAGACGGTGACGTTGCGGAACAGAGTAGCGACTACTGAACCCTCGAAGCTCGTCCCAGCAAGCGCCCCATACAGCAGCACCCTCCCTCCTTCTCTCACCCCGTTGCTCAGCGTTGCCGTCATGCTCCCTGCCACAGCGTCCACGGCTCCCCACGCGCCATGGTAGCTCGTGATCTCCATGACTCTCTTCGCAACGTCTTCTTCTGCTGTACAGATGACGTGGTCTGCCCCGAGAGCAAGCAGCTCCTCCCTCTGCTCGCATCTCCTCACTGTACTGATCGTCTGCCGCTGACGTCAGCAAGCGAGCTTGCGCGACCTCACTCACCTTGTATCCCTTCACCTTGGCGATCTGAACCAGCTGCTTGCCAAGAGACGATCCTCCTGCGCTCTGAAGGACGTAAGCTTGCGAGGGGTCTGCCTCGCTCACCCCCAGCTCCTCCATCAAGCCCATGGCTGTGATGGGGTTCAGAACCGCCTGCGCTGCGTCCTCGTCCGAAACTCCCTCGGGGATCTTCACCACGTCCCTGCAGTTGACCTCCACGTACTCCGACCAGCTCCCGGCTCCCTCGGCTGTCCTCTGCAACACGTAGGGGACAACTCGATCTCCAACCTTGAGATCTCTCCCTCCCTCCTCCCACACTCTTGTCACTCCTGAGCCTATCTTCACTATCTTCCCAGCTCCCTCGTGCCCGGGAACCCCAGGCATGCTGCTGGGCTGAAAGTTTGGATTGACGCCCATGATCGAGTTTACATCGGCAGGGTGGACGGGCATGACGGTCATGTGGATCAAGACGTTCTCCTCTGCCGGAGAAGGAATGTCGGTCTCCTCGACCTGCAGCCCAGACAGGAAGTCTTGATCGTCAAAGCTCGTGAGAGTCACTCGCTTCATCTTCCCAGCAGGAGAACAATCGCCCAGGTGTTGAGCTGCAGCTAACCCACAGGCTACCATCAGCAAGATTGACCTTGTCATCGTCATCATGGATGAAACAGTGGCGCGACTCGGACGGTGTGGACAGGCTGAGACTGATGATGATGACGATGATGATGATGGAGATGATGATGATGGAGATGATGATGATGGAGATGATGATGATGGAGATGATGATGATGATGATGATGATGATGATGATGAGGAGGAGGAGGAGGAGGAGGAGGAGGAGGATGCTGATGCTGATGCTGATGATGATGAGGAGGAGTGCTTCATCGCGATCGTCATCATGCCGTGCGTTCCAATTCAGTTTTGACCAGCCGTCACGTAGCCGTTAGCTACGACTATGTGCTGTATGAGGCCACTGGTCATTACGCCTCCATGGCAGCCGTGGGTCAACCAAGACCGTTGCGAGAGGGAGGAGGAGGAGGAGGAGGAGGAGGAGGAGGGAGGAGAGACTTGAAGCGCTTGATCGAGGTGGCGCCAGGGTTCTACAACGTGAGAGGAAAGTTCACGCTGCTGGGAGGTCTCCTCAACCTGGGCACCCACATGAGCCTGTGCTTGCTGCAGTCCGGGAAGTACCTGGTAATTGACACCATCAAGCTCGACGACGAGATCAGACATGAGATCTGCAGCATCACTGACAATGGTAGACTCTTCTCCTCCCTGCTCTCCTCTCACGCTCCTTCCTCACAGGCAAGCTCATTGAAGCCGTCATTGCTACTCACCCCTATCACACACTGGCCTTCCGAGATTTCTTCGCCGCCTTCCCTCATGCTCCTTACTATGGCACCCCGCGCCATCTTGACGTCATCAAGGACATCCCATGGAAGGGAGAGATCATGGCGAACAAGTCGAGATGGGAGCCTGAGATCGAGATGAGGATCCCAGATGGATCTGAGTTTGTCCTCCCGCTTCCTCCCAAGACCAACCACTTCTCGAATGTGAGCCTCCCTCCTCCCTCCTTCCCCCGCTTCCTCTTCCTCCCTCCTTTCCCCTCTTCTTCCTCCCTCATGGTTCCTGCAGGTCTTCGTGCTGCACAAGGCGAGCAAGACCATCCACAACGATGACTGCGTCCTTGTATGGAACAATCCTCCTCTGCTGCTCAAGATCTTCGGCTTCAGGGACGGCGACATGTCCTTCCATCCTTCCATCAAGGGCCCCGGGCTCTACCCGACCTGTCAGGCTCCCTCCGCCTTCCGCGAGTGGGTCAAGCGCCTCCTCGTCGAGTGGGACTTCGACAACATCTGCACGGCGCACAACGGGAACTGCATCGGAGGAGCCAAGGAGAAGCTGAGAGCGACGCTCGAGCGAGCTGAGCCCCTGCTGGAGAAGCTGATCAAGAGGAACTCCAAGGCGAAGCCTCCCAAGGACTTCGGCGCATGGAGCACCAAGGAAAGTGACCCCCCAGAATGCGGATAATCCTCCTCCTCCTCCTCCTCCTCCTCCTCCTCCTCCTCCTCCCCTTGTCCCTCTCTTCTCTTTCTCTTGCCCTTTTTTCTCCTCCTCGCCCTCATCACACTCCTGTACTTGGGGGATTGATATAGAGAATAAGAAGTTTTCCTTCCTATCTCCGGATCTCTGCGCTTTATCTTGTTCACTTCTCCCCCTCCTCCTCTTCTCCTTCCCCTCCCCATGAGGCCTGCGCGTCCTTCCGCCCCTCGCACAAGATGGAGAGGAGGAGGGCGGCAGCTTCTCTGCGGTATCTGAAGCTGTAGTGCGAGCCGTCCGTGAGCAGGTCCGGGCGAGGGAGGGCGAGAGAGTAGAGGTCGAGGAGGACAGCAGCTCCTGTAGAGTTCCACGTCCTCCTCGCCACCTCGTTGACGGCCTCCAGCTCGGGCCACGAGCCCTTCCCTCCGCTAGTCGGCTCCATGCTCAGCCAGATGGGCAGCTCGTACCTGCCACGACGTTGGCGGAGATGAGCAGGAACAGCAGGGGAAGTCGAAGGGGGAGGGAAGGGGGAGCAAGCACCCGCAGCCACTGCAGCGGCGGCGGCAGCAGTAGCAGCAGGAGCTCAGGAGCAGAGAAGGTGTCAGAACTTGTTTCCCATACCTCCAGTCGAAGTCCCAAACAGCGTCAACGATCTGAGGGAGAAAACTGCTGGAGAGCGTCAGGTAGGAGACGATCGAAGTGAAGAAGAAGAGCTAGAATGAGGAGAAGCAGAGGAAAGAAAGGAGGAGGAGGAGGAGGAGATATTGTTGGTGGTAGTGATGGTGATGCGTGCCTGGCCATCATTGAGGCTGCATCGAAGGGAGCTTGAGAGATGAAATGAAAGCCTGGAGCCATGACCACGACGAGGCTTCGATGCTGGCGACGAGATTGAAGGAGGAAGGTGTCGATCATGGCTGCAAGGGTGGGACCATGATCGAAGTGAAAGAGCTCGTGGAAAGAGACCGTGAGGTTGTCAGTCTTGATCGCAAAGCTGCGAGAACAAGCGAGTGAGGAGGAGGAGGAAGGAGGAAGAGGAGGTGGAGAAAGAGGAGGGAAA